TTTGTATACTCCTTTGTATACTCCTTTGTATACTCCTTTGTATATACTCCTTTGTATACTCCTTTGTATACTCCTTTGTATAGTCCTTTGTATACTCCTTTGTATAGTCCTTTGTATACTCCTTTGTATACTCCTTTGTATACTCCTTTGTATACTTCTTTGAATACTCCTTTGTATACTCCTTTGAATACTCCTTCGTATACTCCTTATACAGGGTGTAGAAAAAAGGAAGACATATAGAAATCAAGCATATTGTTAAAATTTGAATGCCTTTTCAATTGCACATATGCTGAACCAGGATGCGTGAAAAATTGATGTTGTGCATATATTAGAAAAAGGAGACCTTTAGAAATCAACCATTGTTATAATTTGAATCCTTATGACCAACTCAAATTGGTCGTCTCAGACGCATCTCTTTTTGACCAATTTTATTTGGTCAAAACAACCAGAATATTGGTTGTTTTAACCATTTGTTTGAGTTGTTTTAACCAATTTATTGGTTGTTTTAACCAGAATTTTATGCAAAGTCAGAATTTTATGCGAAGAGCTGTCATAAGGAGAAATCTAGTGCGTACAAATCCAAACCAATGACGAAAGACGGAAGATCGTCTTCAATAAGGCGTGAAACTCGAGGAGCAATAATTAATTTTAAGATATAAATATCTCTTGCTCTACTAAATAATATTGGTGTTTGGCACTTTATTATCTACAACAACGAAACAAATTATATATATATATATATATATGTATATATATATATATATATATATATATATATATATATATATATATATATATATATATATATATATATATATATATATATATATATATATATATGTATATATATATATATGTATATATGTATATGTATTAGACGAGGCCGGGGGTAAGTCGTCTTCCGGGATGGAAAGAGAATTGGAAAGCTTACTTGAACATTGTTTATATAATAATAACCAGGAAAATGTCAACCCAAACCTCATCTGTCGTAAGATAATCAAGTCAAGCAATTTAATTCATGTATCTGTGAACCCCGAAGTTAATAGTAAACCCGTGTCTTGTTCGTCGCATTTTGTACCTGCTATATTATTGTCAAACACTATGTCGCTAGCCCCGAAAATCGATGAAATTGCTGTATTTCTTACTTCGAATCATATAGATATTGCCTTTTTCAGCGAAACATGGTTAAAAGAATCTGTTCCAGATGAAGCTATTAATATTACAAATTACCAATTATTCAGGCGTGATCGTCAACACAAATCCCATGGTGGGGTTTGTTTTTATATTAACAATACCATTTCTTGCAACCGCCTAACGGAGTTAGATAGTGACAATCACGAAGTATTGTGGCTAGCTTTACAACCAAAACGACTCCCACGAAATTACTCAAATATGATAATAGCTGTTGTGTACCATCCTCCAGATGCCGATTGTACAAGTATGCGTGACTATGTCCAATCTTCATTAGAATATATTGAATCTTCAATTCCTAACCCTGCAATCATTATTGCCGGTGATTTCAACAAATTGGACTTACAGGCTACTGTTAAACCTTTTCAACTAAAACCAGTAATTGATTTTCCCACCAGAGGTGCCAATATTCTTGATCAAATTTGTACCAATCTACTAGTGCTCCTCCGTTTGGCTTATCAGACCATCTAACAATTGCCATGTGTCCTGGAACGAGGAAAAGATCGCACGAACCACAATCGCGTATTGTTAAAACAAGAGACAAGCGACCCAGTAATATCAGAAGTCTTGGTCGATTTCTCCAGGAAATTCCATGGGACATTTTATCGTCCATACCCTCAAATGATCAAAAACTATACTTTTTAACTAGCAATATAAACTATGGTTTGAACTTAATTATGCCTGAACGTTCAATAAAAGTCCACTCTAATGATCGACCATGGGTTAACAGCAATCTGAAATCACTGATAAATCGACGACAAAAAGTCTTTGCATCTGGTAATGTCCCTCTTTTTAAAATGTTACGTAATAAAGTTAATCGTGAACGAAAACGTTGTCGTAAGAGCTATTATCAATCTAAAGTTCATAATTTACGTAACACTAACCCCCGAGATTGGTGGCGGGAAGTGAAGCAGTTGTGTGGCACATTTAAACTAAACAACAAAAGTGTAAAAGACCGCCTCCATCAAGATTTATGGCAGGAGACAGACATAAACCTCAGTAATAAAATTAACAATGTTTTTATAAATGTGATACAGAACTATGTTCCATTATCTGAAGATACGGCTGTAATTGTACACAACGATGAAACACCTATTGTTGTGACCGAGTCAACTATAGCTAGAAAATTGCAAGAAATTAGTACATCGCGTTCCAGTGGCCCTGACGGTATTTCCAATTGGGTTTTAAAAACCTATTCGGATATTCTCGCCTCACCAGTTGCAAATATAATCAATTCTTCCTCTCAAAGTTGTAAAGTCCCTCAAATTTGGAAGCTGGCCGATGTGGTCCCCTTACCAAAAACATCTACTGTCAAAGACTTGGAAAGGGAATTACGACCTATTTCCTCAACTTCCACCCTATCAAAGATAGCGGAACGTCTTGTAATCGAAAGAGAAGTAAAACCAACTTTGTTAAAGGTTGTTGATCCCCAACAATTTGGCTTTATTCCAAATTCTTCCACTGTACTTGCCTTGATATCGATGCTCCATTGTTGGTTGAGTGCAACAGATGGAAGTGGTTCATCTGTTCGTACTGTATTTCTTGATTATAAAAAAGCATTTGACATGGTGGATCACACCATATTAGTTGCGAAATTATTCAGCCTTGGTATTAAGCCCTGTGTGGTTAACTGGATTATTGACTTTTTACGTAATAGATGGCAAAGGGTCAAACTAAGTGATAATTGTTTCTCAGACTGGCTCCAAGTTCCAGCTGGTGTCCCTCAAGGCACACGACTTGGGCCTTGGCTATTCTTAGCCATGATAAATTACCTTGTGTTACAAAATCATCCTTCAGAAATGTGGAAATTTGCTGATGATACTACGGTCTCTGAAATTGTTGAAAAAAATGAACAAAGTACTTTACAAATGGATATCGATGATATTACTACTTGGTCTATGAACAATTCCTTTCAACTAAACCCATTTAAATGCAAAGAAATGGTAATATCCTTTTCACGATTACCACCTGTTCTTGAACCTATACGTATTGGTGACCGAAATTTGGAAAGAGTGACAAGTATCAAATCGCTTGGAGTTATATTAAGAAATGACCTTAAATGGATAGACCATGTAAATTCAATTGTCTCCAAAGCAGCTAAATGTTTATATTTGTTGAGGCAACTCAAACGTGCTGATGTCGCTTCGGCAGATTTGGTCAAATTTTTTTGCAGCTGTATAAGGTCTGTCCTTGAATATGCGTGCCAATTATTCCATAGTTCCCTGCCACGAAATCTTGCAAAAAACATTGAACGTATACAGAAGCGAGCAATGAAAATAATATTCTATGAATTGTCTTACGACGAGGCTCTTAACATCGCTGGTATTTCTACTCTTGAAAACAGACGGGAGTATCTATCCAATAATCTCTTCAACGACGTTGTTTTAAATGATGATCATAAACTTGCCAAACTTTTACCATCCAAAGCAGGCAATAGAGAATTACGAAAAGAAAGATCTTTTGAAGTTTCACCAGCAAGTACAAATCGTTTCGGAAACTCTTTTATCAACTTTTATGCTAAGAAACATTACAAATCAGATGTTCCTTGAACATTTTAGAATTTTTAACTCATATAGATTAGTACATTTAAGTATATGATATATAGTATATATTAACAATTTCTAAATTGCATTGTAATATAGAATTTTTAACTATTTATAACCTTGTAACACTTAACGTCATGTAATTCAGTCTTCTGACTGCCAGATGATGTTTTTATTAAACAAACTATTCATTCATTCATTCATTCATAATAAAACTATAGTGTATTGTTAAAAAATTATAGTTTTCATAAAACTATGGTGTATTGATAATTAAGAACTATAGTTTTCATAAAACTATAGTGTATTGGTAAAGAACTATAGTTTTCATGAAACTATAGTCCTTTTGTTATGAAGCTAAAATATATACTAGTGGCAAAAACTATAACTAAATAATACTGTTACTGTTACTTCTGGTTTAGTTCCGCAAAAGCTGAAGAGCCAAGACTTGAGTAAATGCAAAGGACAGTTGATAATTGCCGCCGAAGGCAGCACACTATTCTCGACATGAAGTATTGTGTTTACTTGTGCCCAGTCAGGCAGGTATAATGGTCGGACCGGATCGCCAGTCCGCGTCGGATCAGGTCAGATCGTGCAGGTATAAAAGTCGGACCCGATTGTGGTCCAGGTCAGATCATGCAGGTATAAAAGTCGGACCGGATCCATAGATCACCGAATCGCTAGTCCGGAATTAAAGGAAATAAAATATTGATAAGGCAGTTTGATGCAATAATTTTCAAAAAAGTGGTCTAAAATCTAATAACATAAAATGTTTTACCTTCGTCGCCATCCATTTTGCAGATTTGCCACGCTGTTTCAAGGCCTGGTTCCACGAGCACTTTTTCTTGGCAAAATGCACATTATTTCTCCTGTTTCTTTTCAATTGCGATCGCAAATTGAATTGCGGTCGCATGGTGTGTCGACGTGTCAATTTGAGCTCCTCAAGCCTTAGTCAAAATCTGGCTGATTCTTTATTACATTTTGTAAATAGCGAAAATAACAACTCTATAAGTTTTTGTGAAAGCGAATCTACACAAGAGAATAGTATAAATAATCCTTCTCCCGACAATAATATCAACAAAGGTGAGCAAACTGCAATGCCGAGTGATGATCTACAACACGTGGAATACCTACAACTAAATGGTGAGCGTTTATTATGGAAAGACAGCTTAGAAACGCTTAAGAATTTGATGCTACAACTACGAGAACAGGGTAAATGGTCCTCTCCTGGAGGCGAAGCGATTTAAAAGTACCGACAAACGATTTGAAATGACGTGGTATGGCAGCAAGAAACAAACCTTAACATTTAGCGGAGATGAAGGTCAAAGAATGAGAGAGAAATTGATAGCTTTGGCTAACATGAGACTACGCAAAGAGTCAATAAATATAAAATCGGTTCTGCAGAATGATTCGGAAATAAATATTGAAAACAAATCTTCGACAAAGAATACTAATGAAGGCGATCATATGCAGGTTCCTAGCACCCTCGATGCCCTACAAGCGAAGATAGACAATTTTGAACAACAATTCAAAGACTTTCAGTCGAGAACCAATAATAATATCGATATTCTATTTACTAAATTGGAAAGGAACCCAGATGCCGAGAAGGAAAAAGAAATTGATCGATTACGTGAGGAAAACTGTAAATTAAAGACGGACAATGCAGAACTAATTCATCGCCTCAATGAACATGTAAACACAATATCGGAATTAAATAATATAATCAAGGTTGCCGGAGATGAAAAAGCCAGTTTACTAACTGCTATTCGCTTAATCCAGTCTGATGATATTAATGTTAGATCAAACAATAACGAATCTCAAGTATGGACACGAACAGAAAGTAAAACCCAAGGTAAAACAAAGAACCAAACACCTTCGCGACGTATTAATCAAGCGAGCAACCAAATTTTAGAACCAAATAAATATGCCTCGTTGGCGGTTGATGAATCTAATGAAAACAAAGATATGGATCATAATGTCACCCCTAGTTCAACACATATAGAAAATTCGACAAACACCGGTAGAAGAATACAACACCAAAAGGAAAAGCAAAGATACTCGGTCGAACCGACACATCAACACAATGCCTCAAGCTCAAAGTCTACCGAAGGCCCGATAGCGATCCTAGGAGACTCGATGTTAAAGAAACTAAGTCCTTCAAGATTACGCCGTTCGACTGGGAAAAAGATAATAGTCAAGACGTTTCCTGGAGCAACTACTTCGGACATGAAGCATTATATTAAACCTACTCTGGAGAAAAATCCCCAACTAGTCGTGATCCACGTTGGAACAAATGACATCCAACATAAAGAGCTCGAGGAGATAGCTAAGGAAGTTGAATCACTGTGTAGAACTATCATGATGAACGGCTTGTCAAAAGTCGCTATTTCAGAGATCATCCAGAGGGCAGATGACAAATTGAATACAAAAGTTAAAAAATCGAATGTTCTCCTGGCAAAGGTTTGTAAGAATAATAACTCGTCTCTTATTTCCAATAGTGATATAAATACTTCTAGCCTTAATGCATCTGGTTTACACCTAAATGATAGAGGAGCAGCAATACTAGCGAAGAACTATATTGATTTTTTCGCAAATGACTATATTCATCACAAATATGCATTTTAGACTATCTTTGCCA